TGGTTTCCCGGATCTGTTGACTTATTATAGAGCAATTATGATATCCATTTCCTGTAAAATTCTACGTTCTTCGGTCAAACCATTATGGATTACTATTTGTAATGACATAATCCACCCAGACTATCTGGAAGATGTGATATGGTCGCGTGTTGTCCGACCTGTTGAATTTTTTCAACCTATAGACCTAGTCTATTCGACTATTCAATGTTGGAAAAGGCATACCAAACTTTTGTTACCCAAATTGTCACGCTACTCCTCATTCTTAAATCAAAATTGGTTTCCTCCAGGGTTGAATATGACATTGGGCATTTTATGGAGATCCCGGAATATATCACGTATTGTCGATATTGCCAATAAGAAAGGTATTAATAGCAAATCTGAATTGGAACAAGTTAGGCTGTCCAATTCCTTGGTTTTTCTGCCTTCAGTTAAGTCATCTTCTTCATCAATTAGAGGTCACTAATCTGCTAGCACAACCTCTTTCGGACATGGAAATTATAATAAGAAATTTTGATAATCAAAATAAAGGTCTCATTTCACAAATTTATGCTACTCTTCTTAAAAAATCGATTACAAAACCCCCTCCTTATCAAGCTGCTTGGCAAAAAGAATGCACAACGATTCTCACGGATGAGGTATGGGAAAAGTTTTGGTCCTCACACTGTTTCAAAAACAAATCTATCTCGGTTACCCTACAAAACTTAAAAATAATGAATAGATGGTACGTTACACCTCGCAAACTTGCTTTGATGTCGGCGGAGACTTCCCCAAAATGTTGGAAAGGATGCCAAGAAATTGGCGATTACGCCCATTGTTGGTGGAAGTGTGTAAAGATAAAAGGTTTCTGGCTGAATATATTGTCCACAATCCAGTTGATTACCTCTGTGAAGATCCCACTCTTACCGGAGTTCATATTTTTAAATACATGGCCACCTGATTTAAAAAACAGACCACATAAAGTGCTAATAGAAGTCTTATTGGATGCTGCTAAAACGGCAATCGCATCATGTTGGAAGGATCAAAGAGCACCCAATGTGGAAGTGTGGTATAAAAAATTGTGGAACCATTATTTAATGGACGCAGTATCAAATAAACTAAACCTCTCTTCCCAACACCCCATTCAAGACATATTCACTCCCAAATGGTTCCCGATATTAGACTATTTAGCATCGCAGCACTTCCTCTCCTCCGAGTGATCCCAATTCCATAAATGGATTTGAAGTTTCTTTCAGTTATTATGCTTTCATTCTTTGCTTTTCTTCTTATTGAGATCATTAGAAAATCCTACAAACTCAGTTGATCAGTTATATAGTTCACATGGGTATGAATTGCATAATTTAATATAATATTGTTATAAGGTTTAATGATACTTACAATATTTTAAGAACGGAAAACACATACGTACACACACACAAAGGTAACAAGGTGGAAATCTTATTTGAAAGTTTATATGTTGGTTTTATTGTGTTATTTCAAAATGTTTCATCTTCACATCTGTATTTGTGTATTTCTAATAAAATAACAATTATTATTAAAAAAGAAAAAAGAAAACTCAGTTCCTCAAAAACTCGGGGTCTCTAAGGTGCTCCTGGAGGCGAACCGACCAACATGGCAACCCCCTGAAATGAAATCCAGGCACAAAAGCAGCCTTCCTCTAAATGCTAGATAACACAGTCAAATGGAGAGGGGCCCATCACTTCAGTGCCCTGCCTGTGAGCTTGACCGCTCCGGGGAGCAGGATGCTGGACTATATGGGCCCAGGCCCATAGCTATGGTGTGGCTTTGCCCCCCTTTCTTAAAAGCACAGCCCCACAGGAATTTCCTCCTGTAAATGCTTTTTTCAATAATTTTAAAACTTTTTAAAAAGTGCGCTCCTTTAAGCAGAGTGGGGTGCTGTAGTCGACTAATTCCCGCACTGAGCAAGGGGGTTGGAGTAGGTGGCCTCTAAGAGCCCTTCGAACTCTGTACCAAGAAACTGGTCTTCTTTAAGAGAGTTTTTCTGCCAAAGTCGTAAAAAGCCCAGTAGCACATTTAAGACTAACTTTATTGTAGCATAAGCTTTCGAGAAACACAGCTCTCTTTTGCCAGAAGCGTGGAGGGCATGTTGGCCTCCACGCATCTGACGAAGAGAGCTGTGTTTCTTGAAAGCTTATGCTATGATAAAGTTCGTTAGTCTTTTTTTTAAAAAAAATAAATTAAAAATTATTTTCAATAAAATACAAAAATAAACATTTGCATAAAATGGAATGGATATTCGGTAATAAGTTGGACGAAGATCAGGACAAATTGAAGCGTCATGAAGAGACCTAACAGAGGCTTCAAAAACACAAAAGGTCTTGATGATAGCGATTATTGGGGAGAAAATCCCCGTTAGACAAGTATGCGGCCACTGGAAACCAAATGGCTTGGAATGTGTGTAGAGGGCCACCCGTGGAGAACACAGCGTTCTGTGCGGCATTTTTTCCTAGGAGAAAACGTTCCCATAATCTGTTTTTCCAGGTATTCAGGGAGGGGGCAGCTTCGGCTTTCCATTTTTGGGCAACCCCAAGTCTCGCAGCAGCAAGTAGCGTTGCGATTAGCAAAAGTTTTCATTTCGTAAGTTTGTTAGTCTTAAAGGTACTACTGGGCTTTTTTACTATTTTGCAACAACAGACTTAACACGGCTCACTCCACTGGATTTCTGCCTCAGTGTTCGCTTTCTTGACCACGGAAGCCATCAGCCCCACCTGCCAGCTTATTGCTTAGGCTGGCAGAAGTGATTAACTTGCAGCAGCTGAGAACTGTCATATAATGTGACTGACAGCTTGCAGTTTAGAAATCTATCTCGGTAACGGCTTTTTATTGGCTAAATGGCTTTTCTTTCTGTACTGAGTAGGGCTGGCCACCTTGGCTTCCCGACCTGCTCTGTTCCTCACTGCCCCACTCCACAGGGGGTCACTCCCCTAAGCAAAAAAATCGACACGCTTTCGTTTTAACTAGAGATGTAAAATTTCCGGAAATTTTGAAACTCGGGAAAAAACGGAAATTTTCGGAAAAATTGGGGGGGAAATGCTACATCAGCACTTCTTTTTTCTTTTCCAGATCGAAAGTCATTCTGTTACTTTAGGAACATGACTATGGACATTTTTGCTTGGCATGAAATGATCACAACTAGCCTATTAAAAATATAGTGTATCCAAACAATTCTTACAAACAGAATACCCACCCACACGCAAAACCAAAACTGAAGCCTTTTTCTTTTCTTGTGACAATAGCACCTCCTAAAGGAAGAAATGCAGTTTGTTCGTGCATTGGAGAGTTCAGTTTGTAACCTAGGACTTGCTTGTCCTCAGTGCACAGAAATTAGATCAATCTGATACCATACACATTTTTTAGAAATGATTTGGAAACTATTTGAACACCTCGTCCTAAAATATTTTATTCATCATGCTAAAATAAAACGTTCCATAATCAATTTTCTTTTCTTTTCTTTTTCCAATTTTTTGGAAAAAAACAAAAAAGGCTTCAGGAAAAAAACGGGAAAAAACGTTTTTTTCTCGAATTTTTCTGGGTTTTTTCCCCGAGCCTTCACATCTCTAGTTTTAACCGCAGCCGAGTGGCAAGCTGCTTGCCAGCCTTACCATAAATTCCAGATCCCGTCGTGGAGGGAGTCTAGGAGCTGTCTTCAAACTGGAAGATGTCGCCGCTTTCCGAACCAGAGACAACTTCTGCAGGGACGTTAAAAGGCAGTCTTAATATGGGCACAGGCTAAGGGGGAATGTTCCCATTGCTTTTAGAAGAGAGATTGTGCCGCGAGAATTGGAAGTGTGTGGGAACACGGCAGAGAAGTACTGGGGTAACATGGCAAGTGAGAAACAGGACACTCAGAAACCGAATTGCTACGAATCATAGGCACAAGTGATTCCCACAACAGGGCCCCAGACGGTACCGTGCAACACTCCGATCCTCCAAGTGATACACATGAAACTGCCTTACACCAAATCAGACCCCTTGGAACACCACAGTCAGTATTGTCTACTCAGACTGGCAGCAGCTCTCCAGGGTCTCAGGGTCTTTCCCATCACCTACTGCCTGTGGTCCTTTGAACTGGAGATGCTTCTGGAGATTGAACCTGGGACCTTCTGCAGGCCAAACAGATGCTCTGCCACTGAGCCATGGCCCCTCCCTGGCACATGAAATTTCCTTACACTGAATCAGACTCTTGGGTCCATCGAGGTCAGTATTGTCTGTTCGGACTGGCAGCTGCTCTCCAGGGTCTCAGGCGGAGGTCTTTCCCATTACCTACTGCCTGGTCCTTTTACCTGGAGATGCCGGGGATTGAACCTGGGACCTTCTGTGTGCCAAGCAGAGGCTCTGCCACTGAGCTATGGCCTCTCTCCATGGCTCTCCATGGTCTCAGGTTCAAGGTCTTTCCCATCACCTACTGCCTGGTCCTTTTAACTGGAGATGCCGGGGATTGAACCTGGGACCTTCTGCGTGCCAAGCAGATGCTCTGCCACTGAGCTATGGCCTCTCTCCATGGCTCTCCATGGTCTCAGGTTCAAGGTCTTTCCCATCACCTACTGCCTGGTCCTTTCAACTGGAGATGCCAGGGATTGAACCTGGGACTTTCTGCATGCCGAGCAGAGGCTCTTCCACTGAGCCACAGCCCCTCTTTACAGCTCTCCAGGGTCTCAGGCAGAGGCCTTTCCCATCACCTCCTGCCTGGTCTTTTCAACTGGAGATGCCAGGGATTGAACCTGGGACCTTCTGCATGCCAAGCAGAGGCTCTGCCACTGAGCCACAGCCCCTCTTTACAGCTCTCCAGGGTCTCAGGCGGAGGTCTTTCCCATCACCTCCTGCCTGGTCCTTTTACCTGGAGATGCCAGGGATTGAACCTGGGACCTTCTGCGTGCCAAGCAGGTGCTCTTCCACTGAGCCAAGGCCCCTCCCCGTCTAAGTACTAACCTGGGCCGACCCCACTCGGCTTCCGAGACCCGATGAGCCCGGGCTAGCCTGAGCTACTGAGGCTGCTGCCTCTGCTGCTTGCTTTTAGAGTGCCGAGTCAGAAAACCCTCAATCTCATTCTCCTTGTTCGTCATCTGCTGCTTTATGGTTTCCACCCCATCATCGCACTGGGATAATGGCATTCTTTGCATTTTACAGGCTTTCAGTGTAAGGGGAGCAATGAGCCACCTGGGGTGATTCGGCGGAATCAGTGTTATGTTTTTAAGACCTGTGGGTACAAGGGGATTTTGGATGAAAACATTTCAGGACGCCCATCTGTGTGCAGTGCCGGCCTGGCAGGCCGCCTGCTTCGACGGAGTGTGCCCCAGCCACCAGACCTTCCCACAGGTGCAGCGTTGGCAACAATGTGCTGTAGAGACTGGGGTGCTGACTAGGATCAGGGAAACCTGGGTTCGAATCTCCACTCTGCCACGGAAGAATGATTAAAATGTGGAATTTGCTGCCAGAGGATGCAGTGATGGCCACAGGAATAAACAGCTTTCAAAGGGGTTTTTTTGTGGGTCTGGTTCAAGAACTTCGCGCAATGGCAGCAAGCGTCTGGGCAATGCGTTTCTCCCAGGCAGAGAATGGAGAGTGCGTGGCCGTGAGGGGGGGGGGGGGGAGGTGTGTGCAGAAGTTTGCTGCCACAGCCAACACACAATTTAAAACACCCCCACTTTTCGGCCATAAAACAGCAAAATGGCACCAAAATAAAAGAGGGCTCACGTAGGAGGCAAAGTAAGTTTGACTTCAGGGTGGGGGGGGGGGAGGCGGGAAGCCGCCTGAGGGGCAGCGGCCCTCAGAAAAAGTATTATTTTTTGGGGGGTAAATAATAAAATAAACGTAGTCAAAGGAAAAAAGGAGAACGATTTGAATAATCCCTCTTGAGAGAAAATAACGCTTCTTCACCGACCGGCAGAAAACAAGCTGTTAACAGCGCGGCGGTCAGAAGAGAACTGGCGGGATGTCTGCACCCCGCCTCCTTGGGCATGCGCAGTGAGGTTCCCGTGCATGCCTGGGACGGAGGCGCGAAAATCCCTTTGTGAGCTTTGCATACCACCGATTCGGATCAGCGCAGGCACATAATACCATGGGTGTGATGCACAGAGACCACGAAGAAGATTAAACAGCTTTCAAAGGGGGTTAGATACATGGAGGATAAGTCCATCAGTGGCTACTAGCCATAGTGACCGAGGGGAACCTCCACATTCAGAGGCACTAAACCTCTGAATCCCAGAGCCAGGAGGCATCATTAGGGGAAGACCTCGGCCTCTCTGCCCTGTTGTGGACCATTCCAGAGGAACTGGTTGGCCCCTGTGTGAGACGGGATGCTGGACTGGATGGACCCTCACTGGTCTGACCCAGCAGGCCTTTTCTGGTGTTCTTCTCAGGGGAAGGCCTCGGCCTCTCTGCCCTGTTGTTGGCCCTCCAGAGGAACTGGTTGGCCCCTGTGTGACACAGGATGCTGGACTAGATGGACCCTCACTGGCCAGATCCAGCAGGGCTCTCCTGATGTTCTTCTCAGGGGAAGGCCTCGGCCTCTCTGCCCTGTTTGTTGGCCCTCCAGAGGAACTGGTTGGCCCCTGTGTGAGATGGGATGCTGGACTAGATGGACCCTCACTGGCCAGATCCAGCAGGGCTCTTCTAAGGTTCTTCTCAGGGGAAGGCCTCAACCTCTCTGCCCCGTTTGTTGGCCCTCCAGAGGAACTGGTTGGCCCCTGTGTGAGATGGGATGCTGGACTAGATGGACCCTCACTGGTCTGATCCAGCAGAGCTCTTCTGAGGTTCTTATAGAAGCTTGGGCCAGTCATTCTCAGACTAACCTACCTTACAGGGTTGTTGTGAAAAAAAATAGAAGGGAGGAGAACAGTGTAAGACAATTTGGGTTGCCACTGGGGAGAAAGGTGGGATATAAATGAAATAATAAAAGAATAAATAGCTGTGCCGGTGCGAGACAGAGAGAGAGGACAGCAGGGCTGCTCAGGGAAGAAGAAGAGGAGGAGATTGGATTTATACCCCACCCTTCACTACCCGAAGGAGTCTCAGAGCGGCTTACAAACTCCTTTCCCTTCCCCTCCCCACAACAGGCACCCTGTGAGTTAGGTGGGGCAGAGAGAGCTTTCTCAGGAACTGCTCCTGAGAGAACAGCTCTGAGAGAACTTGTGACTGACCCAAGGTCACAGCAGCAGCTGCAAGTGGAGGAGTGGGGAATCAAACCCGGCTCTCCCAGTGTAGAGTCCGTGCACTTAACCACCACACCAAACTGGAAGGCAGTCCATCGTTACCGACGCGTTCCCCTTGAGGAGCCCCCCGGCATCCTTTTCAACAGTTTGAAAACCACTGTGTTGTCAGTGACAGCCCCCAGTCCCCAGGAAAGCCCACCGTCCCCGCAACAGAGTGATCCCCAGGTGGTGGCAACAGTGACATTTGACGCACGGTGTTCCCCCAGGGTGGCCTCGCTAAGGTGCCTGCCGCGGTCCCGCTCGGCGTACCTTCCTTCCCGCTACTGCCGGACGCGGAGCTGACGATATACGTGTCGCCGAGAGGCCTGGGGGAAGGCGACTCATCCAGGTGGACCTCGTCCAAAGAGGGTGATCCTTTGCAGAAGTGGGATGCATCCGACAGGAACTCGGAGGTGGAGAGGTAGTAGAAGCAGCCCCGGGGAGAGTAAGTGCTGCTGTCGGGCAGGCTGAGGGACGGAGTCAGTTTGGAGGAGCCTTCGCTCGACGGCGACGTGCTCTCCTCGGGAGGGGCGAGAGCGACGATGGGACTGGATGTCTGGTTGGCTTCGGCGGCAAACGCCGAGGCGGACAGGGGAGACACGGCCTTTGCGGCGACCTTCGTCTGCCCCACGGTGCCCTCGGGCAGAAACCGTCTGCAGCCCCCCGTTCCCCGGCAAGCGGGGCAGGAGGGGTCCTCGGAAGAACAGGAGACGACGCTGGCCATCCGCAAGGGCCCAAGCGGGGCTCCTGGGGAAGACGCCGGATGGGGTGGTTCCGTGTCACTCCGGAGTTGCTCGACAGGGTCATCTGATGAGCCAAAGGTCTCTGCGTTAGCAAAGCCCGCCTTGCGCAGGCAGTGGGTTGTGACGGCCAGCTGGAGCAGTGGGATTTCTACAATTGTGTGGGGGTGGGGGGGAAGAGAACTGACACAGGGAACTTTTCCGCCTTCCCCCAAAATGCTAGAACAGTGATGGCGAACCTTTTAGAGACCGAGTGCCCAAACTGCGACCCAAAACCCACTTATTTATCGCAAAGCGCCAACACGGCCATTTAACCTGAATACTGAGGTTTCACTTTAAAAAAAAACAGCTCATACGTTAACTTAAGCTGATCCAAACAAAGTAAGGAAAGCAATCCCAAATGCTTTCATTGACTTAAAATTATTTGGCAGAGAATTCGACCCTTTAATGATGGTCTGGGCCTGACTGGGGCGAGGGCACGCGCGCCCACAGAGAGGGCTCTGAGTGCCGGCTCTGGCCCCCGTGCCATAGGTTCGCCACCACTGTGCTAGAACTTGAGGGCATCCAATGAAGCGGACGGGCAGTAGGGTTCAGGACGGACAAAGGGAAATACCTTTTTACACGGCAAGTTATTAAAACGTGGAATTCGTTGCAGGGGATGTAGCGATGGCCACCGTGTAGACAGCTTTAAAAGAGAATTAGATTCGTAGAGGATGGGTCTATCAATGGCTACTTATCCGTGGTGGCTGCGGGGAACATCTACGTTCAAAGGCAGTCAAGCCTCTGAATCCCAGGGCCAGGAGGCAACGTCAGGGGAAGGTTTCCGCCTCTCTGCCCTGTTGCTGGACGGACTCCTTTCCTGATCTAGTCGGGTTCTTATGTTCTTGTGGTACTGACTGATGTGAACCACGGGGCACTGTCCACCAAGTGCAGCTCTCCTACCCACAGAAGGAGGAGGAGGAGGAGATTGGATTTATACCCCGCCCTTCACTACCCAAGGGAGTCTCAGAGCGCCTTACAATCTCCTTTCCCTTCCCCTCCCCACAACAGACACCCCGTGAGGTCGGCGGGGCTGAGAGAGCTTTTTCGAGGACTGCTCCTGAGAGAACAGCTCTGAGAGAACTTGTGACTGACCCAAGGTTACCCAGCTGGCTTCATGTGCAGTAGTGGGGAATCAAACCCAGCTCTCCGGATTTGAAGAAGAAGAGCTGAATTCATACCCCGCCCTTCACTACCCAAAGGTGTCTCAGAGCACCTTACAATCTCCCTCCCTTCCCCTCCCCACGACACCCTGTGAGCAGTGTTCCCTCTAAGCTGAGTGAGTGTGTGCTAGCTCATAGGTTTTTTTAGCCTCCGGCTAACACATTTCTGTCTTAGCTCAGGAAGGGATGGCTCCAGAGCAAACTGATTTATGCAGGAGCCAAATCGCTGGCTCGCAGCTTTAATGCCGGTAGGTCACAAAGTAGAATTTTTGCTCACAAGACTCCACAACTTAGAGGGAGCATTGCCTGTGAGGCAGGTGGGGCGGAGAGAGCTCTGAGAGAACCGCCCTCGAGAGCGAGCTGTGAGTGGTCTGGGGTCACCCAGCTGGCTGCACGTGAAGGAGTGGGGAATCGAACCCGGCTCTCCAGATGAGTCCACCGCTCTTAACCACTACACCAAACTCCCCCCCCCCCATACACACAAATTCTGAAGAGGGCTGGTCCCCCAAGCACACATTTACCCCAAGAAGCACAAACTAAAACCAAGGGTGGAGGCAGAATTACATGGGCATTTGTTTGGCACGAGGTGACTTGCGGGACTCTTCGGAGGGAGCAGGAGCTCTAGACACAAGGAGCGGCCTTGATGGAAGCCATGGAGGTGAGAAGGGACAAAGAGGAGACGAGGGAAGGGGTCCCCAAAGGGGCGCCCACAGGCACCATGGCACCTGCCTGGCGTTTCTAGAAAGTGGAAGGGGTCCCGGTGGGACCTGCCCAACAAGGGTTCTGATGGCCCCACAGGAGATCTGACGGCCGGGGCGGGTTTTTAAAAACATTCTTGGCAGCAGCTGCCACTATTGAGATATATGTCTAGGTGATTAAGGTAGCAAGCAGTTACTAGATCAGTTTGATCTGTTTGACAGTCCTAGCTGTCATGCTAGTGATTAAGTGATTACAGCCAGGTGTTATACTAGCAGGTGTTCTCTATCAGGCATTGTTAGAGTAGGTAATTAATTCACCTTGTTAGTGATTGACTGGGTTTAGTATATTAGCTATCAGCTTGATAAGCTAGGTGGGGACTTAGTCTCTCAAAGCTAAGGCATGGCATGCTGTATGATAGCCTTGTATATATCTGTGTATATATTCACCATTATATCTATATAAACTTTCTATGCACCTTCATCACCAGTCGCTCTCCAGCTTCTTATTTACTACACTCAATAGCCACTGCAGCACAAGGCTCTTCTCTGGGTGACTGAATGTAAGATGGGGCAGCCGTTCTGTGGCCGTGCCCACCATGATGCGTCAGAACTCCAAAGGTGCCCACTGGCCCAAAAAGGGTTGGGGACTGGAGGAGGAGGAGGCCAGAGAGAAAAGGGACGCGTGTTAAGGGGAAGGGGGCACGTTACCCAGAAAGCCCGCCACAAGTTTGATATGGATTGAAAAAAGAAGGTATGTCTGGCAGCAGCATCCCTTTGGTGACCCGGCCAGGGGCCATTTAAAAACCCAGCTAGAATATCACCTGTAAGGGAGAGACACGCGGATTCGATTTGCAAGAAAGGAAAACATTCTAGAATCTTAGTATCACCGAGTCGGAAGGGTCCCTAGAGGCCATCTAGTCCAACCTCCCTGCTCAATGCAGGATCCGCCTAGAGCACCCCTGACAAGTGTCTGTCCAGCCGCTGCTTAAAGACTGCCAGGGAGGGGGGAGCTCACCATCTCCTCAGGGCAGCTGATTCCACCACTGCACAACTCTTCCTGTACAAAAGTTCTTCCTAAGATCCAGCTGGTACCTTCCCACCCTTAGTTTCAACCCATTCTTGCGAGTCCTATATCCTCTGCTGCCGACAGGAACCGCTCCCCGCCCTCCTCTAAGGGACGACCCTTCCGATACTTCAAGAGAGCCGTCCTGTTCCCCCTCAGCCTCCTCTTCTTTTGACTGAGCATTCCCAAGTCCCTCGGCCTTTCCTCACAGGGCTTCCTGGTCCCCAGGGCCCCGATCGTCCTCGTCGCTCTCCTCTGCACCCGCTCCATTCGGTCCGCATCCTTTTTGAAGTGAGGCCTCCAGCACTGCCAGAGTTCTACCTTGGTTATTGCGTACGGATAGCCGAAGCCACTTTGACCGACGCAGACCACCGATGTATCGAGGTCGGTATTCTCTACTCTGACTGGCAATTGCTTTCAAAGGCCTTTCACGTCACCCACTACCACTACCCACTACCAGTGGTCCCTCTCAGCTGAGTGAGTGTGAGCTAGCTCACAGTTTTTAAGCCTCCGACTCACACTTTTTTTGCCTTGGCTCAGGAAGGAGGGCTCCAGAGCAAGCTAATTTAGGCAGCCGCCAAATTGCTGGCTTACCACTTTAATGCCGGCAGCTCACAAAGTGGAATTTTTGCTCACAAGTACTCCGCAGCTTAGAGGGAGCGTTGCCCACGACCTGATCCGTTCTAACTGGAGATCCTGGGGAATTGCACTTGGGACGTCTGGCACGCAAAGCGGCTCTTCTGCCACCAAGCCATGGCCCCTGCCTATGCAAAGCCCCGGAAATCTGACTCGGCACGTGTCCAGGAAGTTAAGCTCTTCTCACGAGTTGGCGCCGGCTTCAATACAGGCGTCTACAACCTTGAGGAAACCAGTGGGACCTTTGATGGCAGGCAGAGAGCCAGCGTGATGTAGTGGTTAGGGGGTCGGGATCTGGAGACCCAAGTTCGAATCCCCACTCTGCTATGGACGCACACTGGGTGACCTCGCCGGCTCTTGGCCTAACCTGCGGAGGGGCTGTAGCTCAGTGGCAGAGCATCGGCTCTTCAAACAAAGGGGTTGCCAAAGGGGCACTTCCCTTGCAGACTTCAAGACGGTGTCTCCCTGTGCTCTTGCAGAGCATCTCCTACTCCAGGGAAGCAGGAGAGGAGGAGAAGGAGATTGGATTTATGCCCCGCCCTTCATGACCCGAAGGAGTCTCCGAGCGGCTCACAATCTCCTTTCCCTTTCCCTCCCCACAACAGACACCCTGTGAGGTAGGTGGGGCTGAGAGTGCTCTCAGAGAACTGCTCCTGAGAAAATTTGTGACTGACCCAAGGCCACTCCAGCAGCTGCCTGGGGAGGAGTGGGGAATCGAACCCGGACGTTTTCCACGGAGACAGTTCTCCCTACACCTCCACTTGCATTCCTCGCCACTTTCCCTCGTTTCCGCAGATGTTTTTGCAGTCCTAGGCGCAAAAACGCAGTTTGCCGCCTCTTGCAGTGGCAGCATGGGAATTCCTGGGAACAGGGAAGTCTGAGGCTGCAGGGCAACAGGGGACAAATTGTGTTTTTGTGCCTGGAACTGCAAAAACATCTGCGGGAATGAGGGGAAAGCAGCAGAGGAATATAAGTGCAGGTGCGGGGAGGACCATTCCTGCGGAAAATGTCCTGGTTCTTCCAGATTAGAGTCAACACTCCCAACCACTACACCAGATTGGCTTCTTGCTTTAGGGAAGCAGCAAGTGGATGCCAGAAAAGACAGCAGAAGGAGAAGAGATTGGATTTATACCCCCTGCCCTTCACTCGGAGTCTCCGAGTGGCTCACAATCTCCTTTCCCTTCCCCTCCCCACAACAGACGCCCTGTGAGGTAGGTGGGGCTGAGAGAGCTCTTTTGAGGGCTGCCCTTGAGAGGACAGCTCTTGAGAGAACTTGTGACTGACCCAAGGTCACACCAGCAGCTGCATGTGGAGCAGGAGTGGGGAATCAAACCCGGTTCTCCCAGATTAGAGTCCGCACTCCTAACCAGTTTGGTGTAGTGGTTAAGTGCGCGGAGTCTAAACTGGGAGAACCGGGTTTAATTCCCACCTCCTCCACTTGCACCTGGCTGGATGGCCTTGGGCAAGCTATAGTTCTGATAAGAGCTATTCTTGAAAAAGAGCCATTTCTGTCAGAGCTCTCTCAGCCCCACCTACCTCACAGGGTGTCTGTTATGGGGAGGGGAAGGGAAAGGAGTTTGTAAGCCGCTCTGAGACTCCCATGGGTAGTGAAGGGCGGGGTATATATCCAATCTCTCCTCTTCTCTTCTTCTTCTAACCACCACACCAAACTGGCTCTCAGGGAGCACCATGGCACCCACCACCATGGGTCACCCACCAGTGGACAGAAGGCCTTCCTCCTGACGGTGCTTGCCCGAGGCCACAGGTCCTTAAGAGCCTGAAAGCAGAGCGTCCCCCTTCTAGCTCTTGGGATGAATCCCAAACACTGCTTAACAGTCACTCTGCTGGAAACACAAAGGTGAGACTGGCCGATCTCTTGTGAAGGGTCATGGGATTTGGGCGAGGCCCTGAAGGAACGGCTCGCTCTGAAACCGGCAAACCAGCCTCCCGAGGAAGAAGACAGACGCAGCAGGTTACCTGAAAGGCTGATGCAGGAGAGGGTCGTCAGCATCTCGTCGGGGGTCTTCTGGGTATCGGAGAGAAGACTCTCTAGAGATGTCTCAAGGGCATTTCCCTGGGGGAAGAGAGCAGCGAGGGAGATAAGAGAGGTTTGTCCTGGTACCGGGTGTGTGTGTGTGTGTGTATCAGCTACAAACCGATGCAATTTAGCCACCGGATATCCTGCTGTTAAAGAGAGCTCATTGGGTGCGGCCAGACGGGTCGTTTAGTCCGCTTTCGGCCCGCCTCAGAAACGGATTTTATCTCCGCAATCACACGGTCAACATCTGCCTCCCGTCCCCAGCCGTCGCCTTCCGGCTCAAAATCGCTTTAACCCGGAGTATTTTGATACCAGGTCCCCAAATGGTGTTTTCCTGATTTTCCATTTCCAGCCGCACTTTTCTGACGTCTGATCGCTCCTCCGGTGTCGAGCCACTTCCGGTTTAAACCCCCTCCCTGCTCGAAAGCTGCCCGAGGCTTCCGCTTTTCGCGTGCCATTTTTTAAAAAGTGTTGGCGGTGTGCGCATAGGCGGAGGTCCGCCACCGCGTTATTAAAACAATGTTTAAATGGTGCCTAGTTTTTAGCCTTTAGACGAGTTCGGGATCTCACGGAGGCCATTTTCGGACGTAAACGTTTAAAGGGAAGTGTTCCTTTAAAGTTTAAAGGGAAGCGTTACAGCAGTTGGGTTGAAGTGGAAATCGCTGTTCTGCGCAGGCGTGAAAACCTTTAGTTCCACAGATGGCTGCCTGTGCGCATGCCCAAAATGAGAGCGAGAGGAAAATACAACAGCACAGCGATCCGGAGCAAGGAGGCGAGTGTGATCGTGATTCTCCAGGTTAAAAAAGACCATATCAGGGCCGGAGAAATTTAAACCGCTCCCAGCACACCATCTGACCACACCCATTGACTTGGAAAATTTATGTGCAGCTTATTTGAGGTTGAAATACGGTAAATACACAAAACCAGCAAAACTATTAAAAACAAGCTGTCAAAAACTTAGCATTAAAGACATGTAGCACCTTATAATGAGTCCCAATTAAGGTTTCCAGCTCTGGGCTGAGAAACAGCAGAAACGGCCTTGGGTCAGTCTTAAGTTCTCTCAGAGCTGTTTTCTCAAGGGCAGTCCTCGAAAGAGCTCTCCCAGCCCCACCTGCCTCACAGGGTGTCTGTTGTGGGGAAGAAGAAGAGGAGATTGGATTTATACCCCGCCCTTCACTACCCAAGGGAGTCTCAGAGCGGCTTACAAACTCCTTTTCCTTCCCCTCCCCACAAGAGACACCCTGTGAGGCAGGTGGGGCTGAGAGAGCTCTTGACAGAAACGGCTCTTTTTTAAGAAAAAATACGTTTTATTAAATTTTCAAGGTATACTACATTCAACATAAAAACAGCTCAACAGTAACATACCAACTTGGTTAACCATTATGTACCGGTATCAACATCATACGGTACGTTTATACGAGTCCAGAAAGTCTGTTTCATTTTTCAAGCACCTTACATCATTTAAGTATGCTCCAAAAACAAGCCAGTATCCATGTTGTAGCAAGAGGTATTGAGTCTGACCTTTCGCTAGCACGCCTTAGCTTCATTACATAAAGGTAAGTATATCTCTATACTTGTTAGGCATAGAGGCCCTAAGGTAGGGTGAGATCTCCACCGCATGTTCAATAGAAGGTTGCCCTTTAATTAACTTGCTAGGCCAGGCTACAGTGTTGTCATTGGTCTGGATAGATTCGGCAATCTTATCCATAGTCAACATTTCCCAAATTTTTCAAGAACAGATCTTATCAGAACTACGGCTTGCCCAAGGTCATCCAGCCAGGTGTAAGTGGAGGAGTGGGGAATAAAACCCGGTTCTCCCATATTAGAGTCCGCGCACTTAACCACTGCACCAAACTGGCTCTCAAGTGACGTAGAAGAACAAGAGATTGGATTTATACCCCGCCCTTCACTACCCAAGGGAGTCTCAGAGCGGCTTCCAAACTCCTTTCCCTTCCCCTCCCCACAACAGACACCCTGTGAGGTCAGTGGGGCGGAGAGAGCTCTGACAGAAACTGCTCTTTTTCAAGAACAGCTCTTATCAGAACTACGACTTGCCCAAGGTCATCCAGCCAGGTGTAAGTGGAGGAGTGGGGAATCAAACCCGGTTTTCCCAGATTAGAGTCCGCGCACTTAACCACTACGCCAAACTGGGAAGGGAAAGGAGATTGTAAACCGTTCTGAGATGCTTTTGCGTAGTGAAGGGCAGGGTATAAATCCAATCTCTCTCTTCTCGTCAGAGGTCTCCAATCTTTCCGACCATGCAGGCACCTTTGGAGGGAATCAAACCCGGTTCTCCCAGATTACAGTCTGCACTCTTAACCACTACACCAAACTGGCTCTCCTTGCACTGTGCTGGCAGCTGCTGCCAAAACAACATTACTAAAAATCTACACATCCAATCAAACCTCAGTTGGCAAACTGAACCCACGCTGGGCAAAAGCCCCACCTGGCACTTCCACTTTTTAAAAACACTCAACAGGTGCCAGGCACCGTGTTGGAGACCGCTGCTTTACTTAGCATAGGCTGACTTTCTGAGCTTTTGAACTGGCTACCACAGTAGCTGTACATCAGCAATGCAACAACCGCACTACAGTAAAGGTGTAGTCCAGGGGTGTCAAACATGCGGCCCGGGGGCCGGATCAGGCCCCCGGAGGGGCTGCTATCAGGCCCACAGTGGAACTGGCTGTCTCCTGCTCCTTCTTTCCAGTTCTGCTGCTGCTGCGTCATCACAGGTTTGCAGCTTAGAGACACACACCAGCATACTCAAGATTGCAACAGCACAGACATTTCAATGCAATAATTCAGAGCAAGAGGTGTCAGTTATCAGACACTGTTAAACAAACAAAATATTGCAAGAGTGCTCATGTTTTAAGCATGTTTTTAAGTAAAAAAATACAAAAGCCTTTGTGTTTGTGTCCTTTATAAAGTTTATATCTCCGCTACCTGGCATTACATTTTATGATGCACATGGCCCGGCCCAACAAGGTCTCATTTATGTCAGATCCAGCCCTCATAACAAATGAATTCGACACCCCGGGCTGAGTCAATAAAAGCCCCCATAAAAGCCCCCACTTCACTAACAGACCAAAAAGCCTGGACAACAGCACATAAGAACATAAGAACATAAGAGACGCCAATGTTGGATCAGGCCAAAGGCCCATCCAGTCCAACACTCTGTGTCACACAGTGGCCAGAAATACCAGTGCCATCAGGAGGTCCAGCAGTGGGGCCAGGACATTAGAAGCCCTCCCACTGTTGACCCCCCCCCAAGCACCAAGAAGACAGAGCATCACTTGCCCCAGAGCCCCTAGCTATACCTTGTGGCTAATAGCCACTGATGGACCTCTGCTCCATATGCTTATCTAATTCCCTTTTGAAGCCGTCCATGCTTGTAGCACCCACCACTTCCTGTGGCAGTGAATTCCATGTGTTAATCACTCTTTGGGTGAAGAAGTACTTCCTTTTATCCGTTCTAACCCGACCGCTCTGCAGTTTCATGGAGTGCCCACGAGTTCTTGTATTGTGAGAAAGGGAGAAAAGTACCTCTTTCTTTACCTGCTCTTTCCCATGCATAATCTTATAAACCTCGATCATGTCACCCCTCAGTCGTCTTTTCTCCAAGCTAAAGAGCCCTAAGCGCTTTAACCTTTCCTCATAGGGAAAGTGTTCCAACCCTTTTATCATTCGAGTTGCCCTTTTCTGCACTTTTTCCAAAGCTATAATATCCTTTTTAAGGTGTGGTGCCCAGAACTGCACACAGTATTCCAAATGAGGTCTCACCATTGATTTATATAGGGGCATTATTATATTGGCTGATCTGTTTTCAATACCCTTCCTAATAATCCCCAGCATAGCATTGGCCTTCTTTATTGCAGTCACACACTGTCTCGACATTTTCAGTGAGTTATCCACTACAACTCCAAGATCTCTCTCTTGCTCAGTCTCTGCCAGTTCAGACCCCATCAATGTGTATTTATATTTAGGATTTTTGGCTCCAATGTGCATCACCTTGCACTTGGCCACATTGAACCCCATTTGCCATGTTGACGCCCACTCGCCCATCCTTGACAGATCCCCTTGGAGTGCCTCACAATCCTCACTGGTTTTCACCACCCTGAACAACTTTGTATCATCCGCAAATTTAGCCACTTCACTGCTTACTCCCATCTCCAAATCATTAATGAACAAGTTAAAAAGCAGTGGACCAAGTACTGATCCCTGCGGTACCCCACTGCTTACCACCCTCCACTGAGAAAATTGCCCACCTACACTCACTCTCTGTTTTCTATGAACTAGCCAGTTTTTGATCCATAAAAGGACTTGTCCTTCTATCCCATGATTTTTGAGCTTACTTAGGAGCCTTTGATGAGGAACTTTATCAAAAGCTTTCTGGAAGTCAAGGTAAATAATATCTATTGGATCCCCCTTGTCCACATGTTTGTTCACCCCCTCAAAGAACACTAACAGGTTAGTGAGACAAGATCTTCCCTTACAGAAACCGTGCTGAGTCTGCCTCAATAGGTTTTGTTCATCTATGTGCCTACTAATTCTTTCCTTAATAATGGTTTCCACCAATTTACCCGGTATCGACGTCAGACTGACTGGCCTGTAATTTCCCGGATCTCCTCTGGAACCCTTTTTAAAGATGGGAGTGACATTAGCTACCTTCCAATCCTCAGGAATGGAGGCAGATTTTAAGGAAAGATTACATATCTTTGTCAGGAGATCTACAAGTTCACATTTGAGTTCTTTCAGAACTCTCGGATGTATGCCATCTGGGCCTGGTGATTTTTCAGTTTTTAAGTTGTCTATCAGTTTTAGGACCTCCTCTCTCATCACCTCAATCTGACTCAGGTCTTCCAACACCCCTCCTGAAATCAGTGGTTCTGGAGTGGGCAAGCACTTCTCATCTTCCACAGTGAAGACGGAGGCAAAAAATGCATTTAGCTTCTCAGCCATTTCCCTATCATCCTTCAATACTCCTTTTACCCCTTGGTCGTCCAAGGGCCCCACTGCCTCCCTGGCTGGTTTCCTGTTTCTAATGTATTTGAAGAAAGTTTTATTGTTGGTTTTTACGTTTTTTGCTATATGCTCCTCATATTCCCTTTTTGCCTGCCTGACCTCAGACTTGCATTTTATTTGCCATAGCCTGTGTTCCGTTTTATCAGCCTCACTGTGACTAGCTTTCCACTGCTTAAAGGAATTCTTTTTACTTTTTACAGCCTCCATTACTCTGTTTGTTAACCATGCAGGCTTTTTCCTATACCTGTTTGTGCCTTTCCTAACCTGCGGAATATATATTTTTTGAGCTTCTAGGATCGTAGTTTTAAATAGATCCCAAGCTTCCCCAATTGTTTTGACCCTTTCTACTTTTCCTTTCAGTTTCCTCCCCACGTGTCCCCTCATATCAGAGAAATTACCCCTTTTAAAGTTAAAAATGGTTGTGTGAGTCTTTTTGGCCAATTCTCTATTTGTACAAATGATGAACTCAACAACATTATGATCACTGTTTCCAAGCGGTGCAATCACTTTTACATCTCTCACCAGGTCTTGAGTGTTACTTAGGACCAAATCAAGGATCGCCTCTCCCCTGGTAGGTTCCGTGACCATCTGCTCCATAGCACAGTCATTTAGAGTGTCTAGAAACTCAATCTCTTTTTCCCGACTAGAACACATATTGACCCAATCAATGTGTGGGTAGTTAAAATCACCTATTATTACACAGTGTTTTTGTCTAGTTGCTATCTTTAAGGCATTCATCATTTTATAATCCTCCTCTATCTTTTGATCTGGTGGGCGATAACAAACTCCCAGTGTTAAGTTTCCTTTTGGCCCCCCTATTTCAACCCATAGAACTTCCAGAAGCGAATCCAATTCACTTAGCCTCTCAATCTTTCTAGACTTTATACCCTCTCTGACATACAGAGCTACCCCACCTCCAACCCTTCCCCCCCTATCCTTCCGATATAATATATAACCGGGAATCACTGTGTCCCACTGATTTTCCTCATCCCACCAAGTTTCAGAAATACCCACAATGTCTATTTTTCCCTCCGACACCAAGCACTCCAACTCCCCGATTTTACCTCGGACACTTCTAGCATTTGTATAGAAACAGCTGTAATTTCCCTTACAAGTTAAGCCTGCATCCTTCCTCTTGCTATCTCGAGTCGTTGTCCGGCAGTCCATGTCACCAGCCATGGCCTCTGTGGACAATTTCAATCCACCTCCCTGTAGAAAAGCAACCGGTACCCCCTCACCTCTCTCAGATGAGCCAACCCGAACCAGAGACTTTTCATCTCCTGTCGGCTTTCCCCCAATATTCAGTTTAAAAGCTGCTCTGCCACCTTTTTGATTTTAAGTGCCAGCAGCCTGGTTCCTTCTCGGGACAAGTGGAGACCGTCTCGCCTGTACAGCTCCCTCTTGTTCCAAAAAGTATCCCAGTGCCTAACAAACCTGAACCCTTCCCCCCTACACCATCGTCTCATCCACGCATTGAGACTCCTGATCTCTGCCTGTCTCTCCGGCCCTGCGCGTGGAACAGGTAACACTTCTGAGAAGGCTACCTTGGAGGTCCTGGACCTAAGTTTCCTGCCCAGCAGCCTAAATTTCTCCTCCAGGACCTCACGACTGCATTTCCCCACATCGTTGGTGCCGACATGCACCACGACCACTGGCTCCTCCCCAGCACTATCTACCAGCCTATCTAAAACACGCGTAATGTCCGCTACCTTCGCACCAGGCAGGCAAGTCACCATACGGTCAGTACGCGGGTTCGCCACCCAGCTGTCTACCTGCCTAAGGATCGAATCACCCACTACCAAGAGCCCCCCTCCCACCCTGCTCAGGGATGGTTCCTTGGTGCAAAAGGAGAGCCGCTCACCAGCTGGGGAAGAGGTCCCTTCTGAGGGCACATTCCCCTTATCCTCAGCATGGTGCCCTGTTTCCCCTAGACCCTCATGCTCCCTGACAGCAGCGGGGCTGCCAGATCCAGAGTGGGACGAAGCTAACAAGTCCCCGAGAGTCTTTTCTGTGTGCCTAGCTGACTGTCTCTGCTTCTCCAGGTCAGCCACCTTGGCCTCAAGGGAGCACACACGTTCCCTGAGAACCAGGAGCTCCTTGCACCGAGGACACACCCAAGACTTCTGCCCAGTGGGCAGATAGTCATACATGTGACACTCCGTGCAAAACACTGGATAGCCCCCAACCCCCTGCTGGCATTCTGGCTTCATAATTCTTTTAAAATAAATAAATATAATCCCCCTTTTAAACCCTTGGTATTTATGTGGTTTTTGTTATCAAGTCAAATTATTTTACGGGAAAGACAAAGAGCCTAGGGCCTTGTCTTTCTGGCTCTTTTTGGGCTTCTTACAGAGCCCCTAGTCTAAGAGTCCCTAGGCTAAGAGCCACAGGCAAAGAGCCCTTTAGCTCGCCCTTCAGCTCGCCCTTCAGCTCGTGCCAGAGGCTCGTGTCTCTGGCAAGGTGCTTCTTTAAATAGAGGCCTCCCCCAGCAGAGGTCAGGCAGCAGCTATTCAAATTCAAATTCACCCAGGCACTCAATCACAGGCAAAACAATGCCCCTTCCACTTCCTCTCAATTACAGGCAATCCCAGTCAAACAATGCCCGTTCCTCTCCCACACTGAATCAGCCAGGACTCTGCAAGAACTCTAAGTGCTTCCACACACTGCTAAACACAGTTTTCCCACAAAATATCCTTAGCTGAATTCTCTCAGCTGAAAGCAAGTAAAAGAAACCCACTCACCTCTCTCACAGCTCTCTCTCCTGCTCCTGCTCAGAGCTCAGCACATGTTCAATGGCTATAACAGTCAACCGGCTGCTCACCTGAGTTTGCGGGAAGCTACTGGACACTGTCCCCTGTCCGGCCTGGTGGGGTCCATCTCCTCCGGCCGCACCTCCCTCCTGCGGGCACCGCACAGCATAGCCCAAGCGCACCAGCTCCTCGCCGATATCGATGTTCTGGAAAGGGAGGGGAGCGATGGGATAGCGTTGGAGAAAAAGTAGGCCAGAGGCATGCTGGGGGGGGGGGAGATGCTTGAAGGGGGCCCAGAGACCCAAGAGGAACACGAGGAGGATTCATGTTAGGATGAACTGATGGGACAGAGAGAGGTTAAATAGAAGACGTCAGGATAGGCAAACGGAGGGACCTCACACTCGGGCCAAACCGAGGCCCCCCTCCCCACCCGGGAGTTACCAGCCAGCCCTCAAGTGTCTGACCACACACAGGGCCCTGTGGCACGGAGATTTTTGAACCCGACCTACAAGGAGGGAAGGCTTGGAAGATAAGGAACTCCCCGACGCTCCCTTCTGGTCTTCCTTCAAAAAGTCCCACAAGGAAAAGACTGTAGAAGTAAAGGGCTCTCCAAACCGAACGCTCTACCATAAAAGCGTTCCATGCAAGCGGAAAGCTAGCTCGTCAGGAAGAAGGCTCCAGCTAGAGCGATCTCCCCACTGTTACGCCAGTTTTCTCTGTGCAGGGAAAACTGTCTGCACAGACGAGGGTTTCATCATGTGAGCCGCTGGCTGCAGCCTGAAAGGGTCCACAGAACAGTGGCAGCTGTCCTCCCTGGGCAAGGACGAGGACAAAGTCCCCTTTCAAGACTGCTGTCAGAGTCCGAAGTCAATCAAGCTCAGCAACGGTCCTTGATAAAGGTGCAGTTTTATCGAGAAAGGTACTCGGGTCATCATACGACACACCTTGTGTCAGGAATGGGGGTGGGTGGGTTAGGCGGGAAGAGGGCATTAGCAACCTGAACCAGAGAGCAACCTGAATAGGGCTGGGATTTGGTCCCAAGTGGGGCCTGATTTCTTTCCCTTGCCCTCTGAACATCAGAAGAGCCCTGCTGTATCAGACCAGCGTGGGTCCACCTAGTCCAGCATCCAGTCTCACACAGGGGCCAAGCAGTTCCTCTGGAGGGCCAACAACAGGGCAGAGGCCTTCATAAGAACTTAAGAAAAGCCCTGCTGGATCAGACCAGTGAGGGTCCATCTAGTCAAGCCTCCTGTCTCACACAGAAGAAGAAGAGATTGGATTTATACCCCGCCCTTCACTTGGAGTCTCAGAGCGGCTTACAAACTCCTTTCCCTTCCCTCCCCACAACAGACACCCCTGTGAGGTAGGTGGGGCTGAGAGAACTCTGACACAAACTGCTCTTTTTCAAGGACAGCTGTGCCAGAGCTTGTGACTGACCCAAGGTCACACCAGCAGGTGCGACTGGAGGAGTGGGGAATCAAACCCGGTTCTCCCAGATTAGAGTCCACACACTTAACCACTACAACAAACTGGCCAACCAGTTCCTCTGCAGGGCCAACAACCTGGCAGAGAGGCTGAGGCCTTCCTCTGAGGAGAACATCAGAAGAGCCCTGCTGGATCAGACCAGTGAGGGTACATCTAGTCCAGCCTCCTGTCTCACACAGAGGCCAACCAGTTTCTCTGGAGGGCCAGCAACAGGGCTCAGAGGCCAAGGCCTTGCCCTGAGGAGAACATCAGAAGAGCCCTGCTGAATCAGGCCAGTGAGGGTCCATCTAGTCCAGCACCGTCTCACAGAGGAGGAGGAGATTGGATTTATACCCCACCATTCACTACCCCAGGGAGTGTCAGAGCAGCTTACAAATTCCTTTCCCTTCCCCTCCCCACAACAGACACCCTGTGAGGTCGGTGGGGCTGAGAGAGCTCTTTCGAGAACCACTCTTTTTCAAGGACAGCTCTTATCAGAACCACGGCTTGCCCCAGGGTCATCCAGCAGGTGCGAGTGGAGGAGTGGGGGAATCAAACCCGGTTCTCCCAGATTAGAGTCCGCGCACTTAACCACGACGCCAAACTGGCTCTCCGTGGTCCAGTGGTCCATCTAGTCCAGCGTCCTGTCTCACGCAGTAGTCTTGGAACTTGGAACAGCTCCTCTGGACGGCCAACGATGGGACATAGAGGCCGAGGCTTTCCCCAGATGTCCCTCCTGGCTCTGGGATTCAGAGGCTCAGTGCCTCTGAAGGTGGACGTTCCCCTCGGTCACCGTGGCTGGGTGCCACTGATACAGACCTCTCCTCCACGAACCGATCTATAACCCCCTCTGAAAGCTGTTTATTTCTGTGGCCATCACGACATCCTCTGGCCGCGAACTCCCAACAGTTTAATAACTCTCAGCGGAAAGGCGAACTTTCTGCCCCACTGCTCACAGCAGTGGGCGCTTACCTGTTTGCCTGAGACATTGTACAGCTGGACGTGCGGCCAAGTGCTGCTCCCGGAAGGGATGTAGCTGGAGATCTTTGCCACGACGGGCTGCCATTTGGCGCAGTGGGTGAGGCGGTCGAATTCATCCAGCGCTGCTTCTTCCCACTGCTCTCCTGTTAAGATGCCGAGGGCAGGCGCAGAAATGAGACGGCGTGGCAGCCTCCTCCTCGGCCTTTCCTCAGAATGAAAACCCACCTCCCTCCCGCAAGTCACAGAATTATTACCCTCCATATGCTGCTCAAAAACTGTACTACACCCCGCCCTTTGCTACCCAAAGGAGTCTCAGAGCGGCTTACAAACTCCTTTCCCTTCCCCTCCCCACAACAGACACCCTGTGAGGTAGGTGAGTCTGAGAGAGCTCTGACAGAAACTGCTCTTTTTCAAGGACAGCTCTTATCAGAACTATGACTTGCCCAAGGTCATCCAGCAGGTGCAAGTGGAGGAGTGGGGAATCAACCCCGCTTCTTCCAGATTAGAGTCCGCACACTGAACCACTACACCAAACTGGCTGGGGATGCCGGGGATTGAACCCGGGACCTTCCGCATGTCGAGGAGATGCTCTGCCAGTGACCTACAGCTCCTCCTCCCATGACATCATAGCCTTCTTAAGCATTTTGGGGGGATTGGCTTCATGGTGTAACACTGACTATCAACACAACAACTGCCAGTTTGGTGTCGTGGTTAAGAGACCCTTAGGGGTTAGGGCCAGATAGTAAATCGAATAAATAAATAAATATATAAATATATAAATAAGTGCATGGACTCTAATCTGGGAGAAATGGGTTTGATTCCCCACTCCTTCACGTGCAGCTGCTGGATGACCTTGGGCAAGCCATAGTTCTGGCACAGCTGTTCTTGAAAAAGAGCAGTTTCTGTCAGAGCTCTCTCTCAGCCCCACCTACCTCCCAGGGTGTCTGTTGTGGGGAGGGGAAGGGAAAGGAGTTTGTGAGCCACTCTGAGACTCCGAATGAAGGGTGGGGTGTAAATCCAGTCTCTTCTTCTTCTGCCAGGGATGCTGAAGTGAAGATGCTGCTGCTTCCCTGTCATATATGGATGTCTCCTGGGAGTTCCACAACAGCGGCCGCCTGCACTGCACTGCCCCTCACCCCGAGTGCTGCTTGGGATCCAAAGCATGCCGTTACCCTCATGAAATTCAATGGGACAGACCCCCTGCCCAGTTAACTGACCTTCTGTGCAACTTACCAGCTGGAGCGATGCCAGCAAGGCTGCACTCCGTTGCTTGAAAGGGCAGGCTCAGGAAGTCACTCCTGGGATAGAAAGACAGATGTCAGGGCTGGCTGCCAGTATTGTGTAGTGTTAAGAGCGGGGGACTCTGATCTGGAGAACCGGGTTTGATTCCCCACTCCTCCTCCACGTGCAGCCAGCTGGGTGACCTTGGGTCAGTCACAAGTTCCCGCAGAGCTGTTCTGGAAAGAGCAGTTCTCTCAGAGCTCTCTCAGCCCCTCCTACCTCACAGGCAGTGTTCCCTCTAAGCTGAGTTAGTGTGAGCTAGCTCACAGTTTTTAAGCCTCCGGGTCACACATTTTTGAGCTCAGGAAGGAGGGCTCCAGAGCAAACTAATTGAAGCAGTAGCCCAATTGCTCGCTCACGACTATAAAGCCTGTAGCTCACAAAGTAGAATTTTTGCTCACAAGAATCCACAGCTTAGAGGGAACACTGCTCACAGGGTGTCTGCTGTGGGCAGAGGAAGGGAAGGAGATTGTAAGCCGCTCTGAGACTCCGTCGGATAGTGAAGGGTGGGGTATAAATCCAATCTCTTCTTAGTGCTTCAAGCGGCGGGCCAACCTCGCTTCCCTCCCAACTTGCAAACCTCTCCACAGCCATACTTCTTCCCCCAAAGAGTGATTAACACATGGAATTCACTGCCACAGGAAGTGGTGGCGGCTACAAGCATGGACGGCTTCAAAAGGGAATTAGATAAGCATATGGAGCAGAGGTCCATCAGTGGCTATGAGCCACAAGGTATAGATAGGAACTCTCAGGCTGGGGCATTTTTATTGTATTCTTCATTGTGTATGTTTAGATATATACATACACAAGGGGTGGACCCACGATACACGTGGGGTGAGGTTGGGGAGGGAGGCAGAGCTCCAAACGGAGCTCCAAAGTCAGAAGGCGGAGGAGGAAGACCTTGAGGCAAAAAAGTGAACGGGCGGCTCCTAAAAAGCTCCCCACTGAAGCGAGTCTCGACGAAGGCGCCTACTCTCCCCCGCTCCCCTGAGGCCACTACTTTCTCCTGCAGCAGACTGGAACAGCGCCTGAGGGGGAAGATTCCACCTCCTTCACCCGCAACGCGCCACTCACCCGCACACTCCACAAAGTCACTGTCGGACGTGAATGCAAAAGAAACAACAGGAAGTGGCGACAACAGTCACGCATGCGCACATCACCAAGGGAGGCTTTCCCACGCGCCTGAATTCCAATCTCTGACAGGGAGGGAAGAAGTCGACTCATCGCGCATCCAGGAAGCATGCATGTGCATTTCATGCAATCTCCCCTCATTCATCCAGTCTGGGCTTGTGTTCTGATACCCTCTCTAATTCCTCAAGGGAGGGTCGTTTATACATCCGGGTTACTCGGCTATCGCCGCCCAGGTGTGGGAACGAGGTGTTTCGAGGTTTTCGCGGGCTGCTTTCACTGGCTTGAGTAAGTATGGTCCTCTTCGGCACCTGTCATTGGCGTTGGCTCGCTCCTCTCTGACTGGATAAGGCTCCAGCGGCTCCTGTTCCCCCTGAGTCACCGCATCAGGCGTTAAAGCCTCTGCGTTCAGAGGATTCTTTCCGTACTGCCGAGTCTCTGGGAAGCGCGGTTGGGCAGGCCCTTTGAGGATTCCTTCCCCCCCGGCTCTACCCCCCCTCCCGGCTCGCCGCTCACCTTCCAAGCGGCGGCGGGGGAGCGTCGGTCACAGAGCGTTCCCTGCTCATGCGCAGAGGACACTCTGTGAGTTTCGGGGGGATTTAAACATCCCCCCGAGGTTTTTTTCCACATTTAGGATTTTTGTGCACACCTGGGGACCACCCCACGTGTGCACAAAACTCCCCCTCCCCCCCAGGTGTCCCCGGTGTGCGGATTTAGCTATCCGCACACCAGGGGGCGACTTGGCTATTAGATATATAGATGCAGGGCTCATTTCCTGTGGGAGCACACAGGAGCGGAGACCATAGCTAGCAATCCAAAACAGTCCAGTGGCACCTTTAAGACCAAGTTTTATTCAGGTACAAGCTCTCCCTCCTCTGCGAGGGCAGATCTGCGCGTTCCCCCCCCCTCCATAGCTAGCAATCCAAAACAGTCCAGTGGAGCCTGAGCGGTGGGTGTTGCCTTCTGACACACTTCCGGTGATGTCAGGGGGTGTGGCATATGCAAATAAGTTATGCTAATGAGCCCCTGCATCTCTTTTTCTACAAAATGACCCCTGCATACACACACACACTTTTAGAACTGTCTTGTTGGTATTTCTAGTTGTTTGGTTTTGTACACCTGATCCTGCTGGTCCTTTGACCATAATGAACATAATTGAACCATTTTCTACAGTGGCCAGCCAGATGTTTTCAAAACCAGTGAACATCACACAAAGGGCACAGCTGCCCCCCACTATGAACCCCGAGCAAGCCGCATTTTGACATACGCGGCCTTTTCCACGGCTCCCTCGAACCCCTCCTAAGTTTCTAATAAACTCACTCTAGTAACCACCGGGAGACATCTTACTTGATCAATGTGTATATTGTACGGAAGAAGAAAAACCCAACTGATGTATGGCATGGAAGATACTGTTTCCAGGGTCAGATCTTGATTTTGGTTGCACCGATTTCCAAAATATTTGGTGCATCGATTTCCAAAATACAAAACAGAGCAAAGCAAAAAGGGCAGGTGCGGCCATAAGGAAAGGCCGGCCCGTGAGCGACTTACTTCCAGGTCCTGACCCACCGGTGGGAAAGCCTGCCCGGCACTCCTACCAGGTTCAATCCAAGGCTCGCTAGTTCTCCAGCTGTGCGCCAGGGACCAACCACCCCAAATCCCACTCCGCCGCATGTCTCACCGTAACACCTGCAGCCTCTCTAAGGGAGCCTCCCCGTTGTCTCCAAAGTCCACGTAGTAGAGATCCAGGTTTCCGTCCTCCAAAGTGCCCAGGACTCGGGCTCTGTACCAGGCGCTGTCGTTCTGGTACGGGGCGGCCACAATGTCGTCTGTGCGCACAGTGCGAAGCTCAGACTGGGAAGGGAGGGGGGCAGAAAAGACATGTCAACAGGCCCCTCCGGTTCCACTCTAAACTCTAGACTCCCCTCTGGGTACTCGGGGCTGCAGTGACATCTCCTCACTCATCCTTTACACCAGGAGCATCCTCTGCCCTGAGCAAAGCCCTTTGTGGGAGGAAACCAGCCCCCCCCCCCCCCCCCCGAGACATGGGAGAACCTCCCAATTCAGCCACCTCCCACTGCAACTGCTCTGAGCTCTTGCAAGGTGCTCAGTCACACCTAAACTATTTGCAGGGCTTTTACTAGCTAAAGAGGGCAGATGTAAGTAACACTTTGATCCCTGGGAGAAGACCCGCTACACAGTTGAGAAGGAGGAGGAGGAGAAGATTGGATTTATACTCCGCCCTTCACTCGGAGTCTCAGAGCGGCTGACAAACTCCTTTCCCTTCCCCCTCCCCACAACAGACACCTTGTGAGGTAGGTGGGCTGAGAGAGCTCTTGACAGAAACTGCTCTTTTGCAAGGACAGCTCTGACAGAACTATGGCTTGCCCAAGGTCATCCAACAGCTGCAAGTGGAGGAGTGGGGAATCAAACCCGGTTCTCCCAGATTAGAGTCCGAGCACTTAACCACGACACCAAACTGGTGGATTTGTACCCCGCCCTTCACGACCCGAAGAAGCCTCAGAGTGGCTTACAAACCCCTTTCCCCTCCCCTCCCCACAACAGACACCCTGTGAGGTAGGTGGGGTTGAGAGAGCTCTGCCAGAAATGGCTCTTTTCAGGAACAGCTGTGCCAGAACTATGGCTTGCCCAAGGTCATCCAGCAGGTGCAAGTGGAGGGAGTGGGGAATCAAACACGGTTCTCCCAGATTAGAGTCCGCTCATTTAACCACTACACCACTGTTCACGACCCGAAGGAGTCTCAGATTGGCTTATAATTTCCTTTCCCTTCCCCTCCCCACAACAGACACCCCTGTGAGGCCAGTGGAGCTGAGAGAGCTCTTTCAAGGACTGCTCTTTTGAGGACAGCTCCGACAGAACTTGTGGCTACCCAAGGTCACACCAGCAGACGCATATGGAGGAGTGGGAAATCAAACCCGGTTCTCTGCGCTCCTAACCACTATACCAGGAAGTGCTGATTTTAGCTATAATCTCCGGGATGGGACATACTGGAGATTTGGGGTGGGTGGGTGGAGCCTGAGCTTCTCCCAGACTAGAGTCCGTGCTCCTAAGCCACTACATCAACCTGGAGAAGACCCACCACATCTTTTCATGCAAAAGGTTATATAAAATCAGGCCTTCTTGGTGGTGATGGAAAATGCTGTCCAGTCACAGGTGACTTACGGTGACCCTGTAGGTGTTTCAAGGCCAGAAAATTTTACATCTCTACCCCCACCTGCCAGCTGGTTACCAGAACTGGCAGAAGTGATTAACTTGCAGCAGCTGAGAACGGTCGGTCGTCAAGTGGCTGACAGCTTGGAATTTAGAGATCTCTCCCGGTAACGGCATTCTATTGGTTAAATGGCTTTTCTTGCTGCCCTGAGAACTTCCGCCCCACCAGAAAAAAAATTTTTGCCCCACAAGTCACAAAACCCTGGTTCAACTAGCCCTGAGCTATAATCTCCCTGTAGCTCCCTGCCTCACCGGGTCGGCTCCAAGACCCCTCTTTCTGGTCATACTCCATGCCCAGCATTTGGGTATAACACGAGAAACGGGACTGGATGCGGGGAACATGTGGCCGAGGAATTCCAGCTCAAACAAGACATGCCCCAGGTGCGCAACAACTCACCCCGCAGCCGCCGCTTCCGTAGTACTGTGTCATTTCCTGAATGAGCTTGTCCAGCTGGAAGCTGCGGGAGCCGATGATCTGGACCCAGAAGTGGTTCGGGTTCTCGGAAGCCGAGACGTAGACCTCCAGGTGCTCGTTGGCATGGAAGCTGAAGTCTGGGCTGGGGACTGAAGCCACAGGGAGCTGGGTGACCCAGAGAACACTTTTCAGCTAGACATGAGGAAGGACTTCCTGACAGTTAAGAGTGGTTCCACAGTGGAACAAGCCTCCTCGGGAGATTGGGGGGGGGGGCTCTCCTTCTTGGGAGGTTTTCAAAAACAGAGGCTAGGCGGCCCTCTGGACAGCCATGCTGTGAATTTAGGCAGATCACGAGAGGGAGGGCGGGAAGGGTTGCCTCTGTGCTTAGTTCTCGTGGCCCTTTTTTACACCCCCAGGGAAATACTGATTGCCTCAGCACTTAGTTCTCGCATGGCCAATGTTCCCTCTAAGCTGTGGAGCCTTGTGAGCAAAAATTCTACTTTGTGAGCTACTGGCATTAAAGTTGTGAGAGAGCCATTTGGCTGCTGCATAAATCAGTTTGCTCTGGAGCCCTCCTTCCTGAGCTAAGACAAAAATCTGTGAGCCGGAGGCTAACAAACGGTCAGCTAGCTCACACTAACTCAGCTTAGAGGGAACACTGCTCGTGGCCCTTTCTTACACGCCCAGAGAAATGCTGATTGCCACTTTGGGGTCAGGAAGCAATCCTGGAGATTTTCTGTCGTCTTCTGGCCGTGGAACAGCGGTCACTGGGGGTCTGGGGGGGAGGTATTTGTGAATTTCTGCACTGTGCAGGGGGTTGGACCAGATGATGCTCTGTCTTCTTGGTGCTTGGGGTGAACAGTGGAAGGGCTTCTAATGTCCTGGCCCCACTGGTGGACCTCCTGATGGCACTGATATTTCTGGCCACTGTGTGTTACAGAGTGTTGGACTGGATGGGCCTTTGGCCTGATCCAACATTGGCGTCTCTTATGTTCTTATGACCCTGGAGGTCCCTTCCAACTCTATGATTCTATTATTTTAAAACTTTAAATGTTGTATTTGTGCTAATGTTTTTTGTGCGCACTGCCTTGGAGACCCCTGATTGGGTGGAAAGGTGGCACTGAAAGGTTTTATAGCAACAACACAAACTTCAGTTTCCCGCAGCGACTGATCCCTTGACGAAGCACGCAAAATGACTCTTTCCTACCTTCAAATGCAGAGCTCGGCCAAGATGCCCCCGACAACGACTCCTCGGGGGAATTGTCTTCGCTCCTCAGCTCCTGCGGCTCATCCAGAGAACGCTCCGCCCGGCTCTTCTCGGCGTCCTGTTCCTCTTGGGAGGGGTAAGAGGGCAAAGGGGGGCCTCCTCGATCCCCGGCCCCTTCCTCCTTCCTCACGCCGAGAGGCTGCTTGCGCAAAGGCCGACACGCGGCCGACTGGGCCAGCTTCTTGTGGAAAGCGTCGTCTTCTGAAAGCTTCTCCGTGATCAGTTCCTGCCGGAGCAAAAGTGAGAACGGGAGGCCATGTGTGCCTGTATGCCGCATCGAGGCAACGTTTAACGCACGCGTGAAAGGAAACTCCTGGGCTGGGGGAACGGCTTCAAACCCTCGTGCCCAGCTTGGCGCATAAAAGGAGACTCTGCTGAGGTCCCCAGCTGAAATAGGATACAAGACAAAAAGCAGCCGCACAGCAATGTGTGAACAAGGAAAAAAATGCACATGCCCAAATGCAACCTCCAAAACCCCAGTGATTTATAGATTTTATAGGTATAACCAGTGTTCCCTCTAAGCTGAGTTAGTGTAGGCTAGCTCGGTTTTTTATCCTCTGGCTTACAGATTTTTGTCTTCGCTCAGGAAGGAGGGCTCCAGAGCAAACTAATTCATGCAGTAGAGAAGAGAGAGGAAGAGATTGGATTTATACCCCCCCCCTCCCCTACCCAAAGGTGCCTCAGAGCGGCTTACAAACTCCTTTCCCTTCCCCTCCCCACAACGGACACCCTGCAGGGTAGGCAGCCAAATCGCTCGCTCGCAACTTTAATGCCAGTAGGTCACAAAGTAGAATTTTTGCTCACAAGACTCCACAGCTTAGAGGGAGCATTAGATATAACATATACACTACTCGGAACACATTTTCCTATGACAATTTGTTCAGTGTATATGTTATATCTATAAAATCTATAAATCATTGGTTTTTTGGCAGCTGAATTTGGGCATGTGCATTTTTTCCTTGGTCACCAGCTGAGCGGCTCCAACACCCAACAGCAGAAGAAGGGCCTCCACAGCGGTGTGGGCCACTGAATGTCAGTTTTATGCCTTACTTAGAATCAGAGCTGGAAGGGACCTCCAGGGTCATCTAGTCCAACCCCCTGCTCCATGCAGGAAATTCACAAATACCTCCCCCCACACATACACCCAATGACCTCCTGCTCCATGCTCAGAAGATGGTAAAAACCCTCCAGGATCCCCAGCCAAACTGGCCTGGAGGAAAACGGCTTCCTGACCCCAAAGTGGCGATCGGCATTTCCCTGGGCATATCAGAAAGGGCCCCTGAGAACACTCCCTGCCCTCCTTCTCATGATCTGCCTACTTCGTCATTTTAAGCATTTCACACACATTTGCATTTTAAAGGTAGTACAAATGAGCGCTTACGTAGCCCTTTAAATGACATTATGTATACAACAACCCTGCACGGCAGGCCAGTGGTACAACTGCCACACCCATTAATATATTGGCTCAGGTTGATTACGAAATCGGAAAAAGAACAGATCATTTTCTGTGTGGTCACGGAATTCCCCAGGAACTGCAGAGGATACATAATTTCTGTAAATTAGCTACAAGGAAAAAAGCCACAAAACATTATGAAGAAGGAGAGTCCAAGCTGGTTTTTATACCCCCCGCATTACTCCACCTTAAGGAGTCCCAAAGCAACTTACAATCGCCTTTCCCTTCCTCTCCCCACAACAGCCACCTTGGGAGGGAGGTGGGGCTGAGAGAGTTCTGAAAGAAACCGTGACTGGCCCAAAGTTACTGGCTTCAGATGGGAGGAGGAGTGGGGAATCAAAGCCGCTTCTCCAGACTAGAGTCTGCCGCCACTACACCGACCTGGCTCTCTGGGCATTGACAGAGTTTGCTCCAGATGGCACAGAAAAAGACTAAAGTCTAGCAGCATCTTAGAGACCAACAAGATTTCCCAACCTCCTCCCCCCCCCAGAAGTTCCTTGTGGGCCCCCAAGTTCTTGACTCCCACACTGCCTCTTGCCTTGGATCACTACGCAAGCTAAGACTGGAACTTGGGCTCTTAACCACCGGGCCACCCAAATGCTCAAGATCACCTCACCTTGGCAGCTTTCACCTCCTTGCGGGTTCCGGAGATCGTGATAAGCCGGGTGAGCGAGAAGGCTCCGTCCCCTTGCCGGTCGCAGTTCATCTTGGCCCCGGTAGTACGGCAGATGGACCGCACCGTCTCTCCGCCTCTGCCTGGGGAACGCACAGTAAGAGACTGGGCCTTACCACCTTGCAGGCCTCAGAGGGTAGGTTTTAGGGGCTGAAGAGTGGACTGAGGCAATGCTTTCTCCCAAAAGGAAGCTGGGCGGGCAAAAGAGGAGGCATAAAACAGATGGGGGGGGGGGGAAGCAAAGACCTGAAGCCACAGCAGTGGAAGCAGAAGAGGAAACCAGAGCAGGAACTTTGAAGAGCCCTGCTAGATCCAACCCAGTAGTCCATCCAGTCCAGCCTCCTGTCTCACACAGTGGCCAACCAGTTCTTCTGCGGGACCAACGAACAGGGCAGAGAGGCCGAGGCCTTCCTCTGATAAAAACATCAGAAGAGTCCCGCTGGATCAGACCAGTGAGGGTTCATCTAGTCCAGCCTCCTGTCTCACACAGGGGCCAACCAGTTCCTCTGGAGGGCCAGCAACAGGACATAGAGACCGAGGCCTTCACTTTATAAGAACATCAGAGGAGCCCTGCTGGATCAGACCAGTGAGGGTCCATCTAGTCCAAAATCCCGTCTCACACAGTGGCCAACCAGCTCCTCTGGAGGGCCCACAACAGGGCCGAGAGGCCGAGGCCTTCCCCTGATAGGAACATCAGGAGAGCCCTGCTGGATCAGACCAGTGAGGGTCCATCCAGTCCCGCATCCTGCCTCACACAGTGGCCAACCAGCTCCTCTGGAGGGCCAACAATAGGGCAGAGAGGCCGAGGCCTTCCCCTGAGAAGAACCTCAGAAGAGCCCTGCTGGGGCAGACCAACAGTCCATCCCGTTCAGCATCCTGTCTCACACAGTGGCCACTAGCTTAAAGTAGATGGTAACAGCCAAGAAGTGCTTCAGAAAAAGATCCCAGTGAAGAAAAACTGTATCCTAACTGCGCTCAATTAATTTTTAAATATTAAAATGAACAGAATACAACAATTATTCGTGAAGTAGGCATCTTACAGCATTTTGCCCTATGTGGAATCAGCCGGAACTTCCTCTCAGTAATGTTTTGACATATAGAAGAAAATCATGAATTTCTTGAAATGTACCAGTTGAAAAACTGACCAGAGACGTCACATGTTCTTCATTTCCCCTCATCTATTCAGAAGAAGATATCTTTCGAAATGGTTGAACATTCCAGAGATCATCGTTAACAACGAATACAAGAACTAATAACTATCGAATACTTCACGAATAATTTTCTGAATCACACAGTGGCCAACCAGTTCCTCTGGACAGCCAACAACAGAGCATAGAGGCTGAGGCCTTCCCCTGATGTTGCCTCCCGGCTCTGGGATTCAGAGACTTTGTGGCTACGAGCCTGGCCTAACAACTCTTTCTCTGATTTCAGTTTCTAGTAATTTACCTGGGACAGACATTAGGCTGACTGGCCTGTAATTCCCTGGTTCCTCTCTGGATACCTTTTTAAAAAATCGGTGTCCAAGAGCAAAGATTACAGGGTAGGGGGGTCTACATGCATCACTGAATACCTGAAGGACGGCCTTTCCCCACACGTCCCCCAGAGAACACTGAGATCAGGGTCAGAAAACCGTTTGGTCCTCCCTGGACCGAAAGACACCAGACTGTCAGGTAGCCCTGTCATAGCTCTGGAAATGTGGAGGGGTGCCCTCCTCTTTCTTCACAGCTCTCTCTCTGGCCCACCGACTGTTTGCTATCTTATGTTTGACCTTGTAGATGCTGCGGCTGCAATTTACTCGGCTGGGAAAGTTAACGGCTTTTTTGCTTTGCTTGCTTCCTGAGGCTCCGCATCCACGTGCGGGCAAACTATGGGAAGGGTCTACCAGTAGGTGTGATGGAGAAGCGGCTGAGACCAGTATCTTTCACCTGCGCTCATTAACCTGTTGACTCCAGGAGGCTCAGGGGCACAAAACCTGGTACCAAGCACTCAGCCCTTCCAGACGCCACCCCAAGATGCCCAAGGCAAGAGGAGAAGCGGAAAAGCCAAGTACCAATGATCCGCCCGACGGCTTGCTGGGGCACGTGCATCTTCTCTTCCACTGGCAAGTTCTCCGCCAGGATCTGGTGGATGGCGGCTTTGGCCTTGCACACTTGGACAGGGGAACCGCAGATCCGGATCAGCTGGTGCTCGCTGGACTCCTCCACATCTACGTCAATGCGGGCGCGGGTGTCTTTTCTCAGCTGAGGGGGAGCAGACAGACTCAATTTGCAGTATGAGCCAAAGACAGCAACTAGGTGGTCTGATTGAAGAATGTGACAGAAGCCAAGTTGGACCAGGCCAGTGGCCCCTCCAGTCCAACACTCTTGTGTCACACAGTGGCCAAAACCCAGGAGCCATCCGGAGGTCCACCAGTGGGGCCAGAACTCCAGAAGCCCTCCCACTGTTGGGCCATCAGGAGGTCCACCAGCGGGGCCAGAACTCCAGAAGCCCTCCCACTGTTGCCCCCCCAGTACCAAGAACACACAGCACCACTGCCCCAGACAGAGTGTTCCATCTATACCTTGTGGCTAATAGCCACACATGGACCTCTGCTCCAGAAGGCTGACGTACAATCGGGGCATGTAGCCCCTTTTGCTGCTGCAGGACAGCCCCTAGAAAAGAACAAGCCTCCCATGCCCCACCCTGCCCTTACTTTCATAAAACATGCTTCATCCTACTTTTGGCAGCAAGGTGTCCACCACCCACTTCCGATACACACACAAGGCCAGATGGTGGAGCTATACCCGAACCAGCACCACAGTGGGAACTGCCATGAAAGACTGGGGTTCCTATGGCAAAGATTCAATGGAACTATAAATCTGAGAAACGGACCTCAGATCATGAAGGAGGACCTTTTCAGTGGCAGCCATAAGAACATAAGAGACGCCAATGTTGGATCAGGCCAAAGGCCCATCTAGTCCAACACTCTATATCACACAGTGGCCAGAAATACCAGTGCCATCAGGAGGTCCACCAGTGGGGCCAGGACATTAGAAGCCCTCCCACTGTTGACCCCCCCAAGCACCAAGAAGACAGAGCATCACTTGCCCCAGAGCCCCTATCTATACCTTGTGGCTAATAGCCACTGATGGACCTCTGCTCCATATGCCTATCTAATTCCCTTTTGAAGCCGTCCATGCTTGTAGCCACCACCACTTCCTGTGGCAGTGAATTCCATGTGTTAATCACTCTTTGGGTGAAGAAGTACTTCCTTTTATCTGTTCTAACCCGACCGCTCAGCAATTTCATGGAGTGCCCACGAGTTCTTGTATTGTGAGAAAGGGAGAAAAGTACCTCTTTCTCTCCCTGTTCTTTCTCATGCATAATCTTGTAAACCTCAATCATGTCACCCCTCAGTCGTCTTTTCTCCGAGCTAAAGAGCCCCATGATTATGGAACGACCTCAGTGGTGGGCTAGCCCCCTTACTTTTGATCTGTGGCTCACTGGGAGAGCATCGGCTTGGCATACATAAGGTCCTAGGTTCAATCCCTGGCACCTTCAGTTAAGGATCCAGGTAGAAGATGATAAGAACATAAGAGAAGCAGCTGACACAGAGACTAGAGAAAGTGGAAAAAGCGAAAGACTCTGAGAAACAACAGATATTATTATTACCAATGGAAAAATCTCTTTATATCCTGAGATTTCAGGGTGTCCCGGAAGAGAAAGGTGGAAACCTCAAAGAAATCTTGAGTGAAGCATTTGCAATGTTGGTGGATCATAAAGCAGACCTTCTACAAAGCGAGACAGAGATGTGGTGTACCGGACTTATCCGGAATACATCAAGAAAAATAATCTGCCTGGCAAAATATTTGTGAGATCCTCTAAAAGATCAACTCGAGATGCAATACTTAAAAGCGACTAATGGGACCAACTTGAAAATCAAAGGAGGAAATGTTAAAACTCTGAAGGACATTCCATTTGAGATAAGGAAGAAGAGACAGCAATATAGAAAGCTGACAATGTTTTTACAGAAAAATACCACTTCTTACAGATGGATGATCCCAGAAGGACTTGTCTTCAATTTCAAGGATTCAAAACAAAAGATAGACTCTGTTGCAAAAGCAGAAGCTTTTTTGAAGAGACAACAGAAAAACGACAATGAGGAGAAGAAAGGAGAGGACGACAAATTAGAAGATGAAGACAAATGAATATGGTTCGGGAACTACCACTAACTCATCAAGTACTTCCTCTGGAGAGGTTTCTGACTCTGAGTTGGGAGAAGCTGCCCCCAAAATTGTTAAGCGTATAAGAAAAAATGAGAAGAAATAAGAAAAGGATGCTGATCTTGAAAGCTTATTATTGTTTGAAAAGTATTATAGTCCGCTTAATTTGAATAACATTTTTTAAGCTTTGTACTGTTTAGTTTAGAAAGAATGCTTAACCTTCATCATTGTGTTTAAAGTTTTAGGGAAACTTGGAAATGACTCGTATTGTTGTATAGATCCTTGTTAGCTTTGTAGTTTTAGTAGAATCCCCGTTCCTTACCCTTAAGTTTTAGAGAGAGAGAGAAAAGAACATAAGAGAAGCCGGTGTTGGATCAGGCCAATGGCCCATCTAGTTCAACACTCTGTCACACACTGGCCAAAAATACCAGGTGCCATCAGGAGGTCCAGCAGTGGGGCCAGGGACACTAGAAGCCCTCCCACTCTTGCCCCCCTCCCCCAAGCACCAAGAATACAGAGCATCCCTTGCCCCAGATCGAGAGTTCCTATCTATTCCTTGTGGCTAATAGCCACTGATGGATCTCTGCTCCATATGCTTATCTAATTCCCTTTTGGAGCCGTTGTTAGGGAACAAGCCTGATATTTGTTTTATGGACTGCTTACTGCTATACACAATGGACTGTGCACATACACATAGGCTCAGATAAATGTACACTTTAGGTCACCTGTTGTGATGACACATATAGAGGGTGCCTGCATATGCCTTACATGTAAATAAGGTTTCAGCAACACAGTTGCCCAGCCTGGTGAAGAAGCACAAATCTCCATTATTGTTAGCAATGAAACAACAACTTTGGGAAGAAACAGCCACCATAGCAAAGCTGCTTGCTGGTCACGTATCACCCATCAACTGCTTTGTTCCTGAGCTGGCATTTCCTGCCAGATGGACATCTGGTTATCAATGGAACTGGCCAACTTCATCAGCATTACAAGGAAGCATCCTGACGCCTGGATTTCACACCTGTCCAGATGCCATACTTCCAGTAAGGTTTTAGGTTACGATATTGGCTATCCCTCCTAGGCAACCTCCCTCCCTGCAATTAATAGGATTGTTTTGGGGACGGACTAACAGGTAGGTGGGTCAAGAGGCTGGCACAGTTACCACCCATCTCTTGGACCCCCTATAAAAGGAGAGAACCAGTCACCTGGCCCCTCCTACCTGGCCAGATAGCATCTCCCCCACAACAACCCCTGTCTGCTTTTACCCCTCTTAAGTCCCACTTACTATCCCCAACCCTTGCCTCTACTAGTGTTCTCTTGATCTGCAGTCAAGAGACCCACACGTTCCGGCTGGTTCTTGTTGTGTGGACTCCCTTTGTTTCCATTTCTTCCCCTCCATTCTTCCTTGGAACAACCAAGCTGCAAGACAGATAAGTCTCGCCCACCATCATCCCTACCTGCTAATGCAACTGTGCTTATTTCCTACTGTAATTCTTAGGAACTTGATTGAATGTGTGAGTGTATCAGTACTGTTTGTATGAGATATATTTTAAAGTAAAAGACATCTATTTTAACCACAACAGCTTCGAATCCTTTACTGGTAACCCTTGGTGGGATCAGGACCTTGGTATAAATTGGCAAGAAACCATCTATAATTGCCAATTGCTATAAATAAAAAGCAATTCGGCTAACACCGTCCGTGCTTGCAGCCGCCACCACCTCCTGTGGCAGTGAATGTGAAAGAGCTCTACCTGAGTAACAAACTAACACATAAGCTTAAAAAGACAGGATCTCACAAAGTATATTGTTTATTAACAGCTTTTTTTCTTCATTACTAACTGCAGTTTAACAGGGTAATGATCTCCTACTATTGGGTTTTTAGTTTAGTGTGGGTTACTTTTCTTTCTCCTTAGTTGTAGTTCCCCTTACCCTTCTTTTTATTGTAGTTTATGTAGTATTATAAAAAAATTAAAAAATCCCCTCCGGGGGTCTTAAAAAGATTCTTAGGAACTTGATTGAATGTGTGAGTGCATCAGTACTGTTTGTATGAGATATATTTTAAAGTAAAAGACATCAATTTTAACTACAACAACCTCGAATCCTTTACTGGTAACCCTTGGTGGGATCAGGACCTTGGTATAAATTGGCAAGAACCCATCTATAATTGCCAATTGCTATAAATAAGGGTCTGCCAACAAAAGTCCGCATGGTCAAAGCAACGGTATTCCCAGTAATCATGTACGGCTGCGAGAGTTGGACTATAAGGAAGGCCGAGCGCCAAAGAATAGATTCTTTTGAACTATGGTGCTGGAGAAGATTCTTGAGAGTCCCTTGGACTGCAAGAAGATCAAACCAGTCAATCCTAAAAGAAATCAACCCTGACTGTTCCCTGGAAGGCCAGATAATGAAACTGAAGCTCTAATACTTTGGCCACCAAATGAGAAGGGAGCACTCACTGGAGAAGACCCTGATGCTGGGAAAGATTGAAGGTCAAAGAAGACGGGGACGGCAAAGGATGAGATGGTCAGACAGTGTCATAGATGCAACAAACATGAAATTGAGCAAACTTCAGAGGATGGCTGAAGACCGGAAGGCCTGGCGTGATCTGGTCCATGGGGTCGCGAACAGTGAAGGTGAAAGAGCTCTACCTGAGATCTTGGAGAGCTGCTCTCTGTCTGACAATACTGACCTGGACGGACCAAGGATCTGATTCAGTATGATCTTCAGAACACAGCTAAACTATTTCGGGGCTGCATTTGACTAATTTAGTTTCTATTTGTTGACAATCCGAACAGAGATTTTAAATTGTGTTGCTTTCCCATCACTGTTGTTTTAGTTACATCGTAAGCTGCCTTGAGTGCTGCAAGACAGAAAGGCAGCTAAGGAATGTTTCAAATAAATCTGCATGCAAGAAATTTCTCCAGCACCTCTACAAGACAAACAGTTCCCAGGTGTGTTGATGAGACGCGACGGCTCTTTCCTTCTATATGGAAGCAAAACAGACACGTTTCGTGAAGTAAAACCGATTTAAGCAGTCT